GATATCATAAAATTGTCTAATTTTATTGCATATTATAAAGCTAGATTTCACTGTTACTTTATTAAAATCATTTTCATAGCGCTTCTGTATTCCCATAGAAACAGAAACACAGTAAATTTTACCATATTCTGTTTGTTTTGACTATACAATTTTTCTGAGTGCACTGTTAGAAATTTCGGACTATGCTGAACTACAATATTGTTCACTTTTATTGTATCCTAAATGTGGTTCAAATTTGAGCCATATTATAGCACTTTTTAAACTTAATTACACGACACTATCATTAAATTTGAACGAAAATACGGAAATATGAATAAATTTAACACTTTATGAAGGTCACGCTAAATTTGCCCAATATTTAATTTCAAGCAACTAGTTTTTCTGAGATAAATTAAATTTCTTACAGTATTTATTTTAACGAAATTGACTTGAGTTGCAGATTTCTTTTTGAGTTTTATCTTTGCTTTTTTCTATTAATTTATCAGGAAGGGAAATAAAAAAATAATTGAAAATGCTTTTTGATAAATGAATTAGGCTTATCATTAAGTTTCTTTCCCATAAAGAAAACAAAAGCCCTTATAACAAAGAACAAAAATGCTTGGAATGCATTTCAGTCCCAGTCATAGTCTTTCTCTGTCCTTCTCTTGATGTAATTAAACATTGCCACATGGCCCTCGATGGACATTGTCCGGTGATTCTTGTCATTTCACTTGTGCTTTGGGTTTGATAACGGTCAAGGAGGTGGTAAAATATTACTTTCGTTAATGTCACCACCATCGACATATGTTTTTTTACTCAGTCTGGAGTTATGATATTATATTTATTTATCGGGTTGGGAGGAAACCCTGCAAGAGTTGATGGATTCAAATGATTTATTTTCGTGACATTAAGCATTTCAAATTAGAGAGATTTAGCACTTTCACTTTGCATTCCGTACGCTCAAGTACTTACATTCTACGCAAGCTCTGCAGAAAACCGAGATTGCTATGCTGTGATCCGCAGACAGAATGCGTGGGATGCTATGCAAAAATATTAAATCTCTACTGTCTTTCTCGCCACATTTTACATAAATAACATTAAAATGAAGCTGTCTGTTTGTTTAGAAATAACTACAATTACAATTAATTATTACAGTCCTGGCCATATTATTATACCCACTATAAGATTCTAAGTAAAATTATAGTTATCAGGTGATACTATGCAGCTGTATTGTTTTTACTCGGATGAAACCGATTTGCAAAATACAGTATAATTTACCATGTTATTGGTTCTGTGGGAACACCAAAAAACAAGGTAATTTTTTATCAGTTGTGGAAGCGATTTGGTAAGATTTTGGTAATATTGAGAATAAAATATTCTTTTATGAACTGTGATAAAATTACGTAATTTTATCATGATACCTTAGCTCATAGCATAAAAACTATTGATTCCGAAAAATTAATTTTCAATTTGTACTTCTACTAAATGTGCGATAATAAGGACTATAATTTTGTAAATCAGAATTTCCGGTAAACCAAAAAATTAATAATTCAATATTATGTATTTTCTTTTCACTAACCAAATTTTTTTTCTTTATTATTTTTTCATTTTTTAAACAAAAATGTCATTATCGTACAGAGCATAATTTAACTAGAATTATTTCCTCCGTATACAAACACACACATATATATATCGCTGGTTCAAAACTAAAACGACACTTCTACACTCACTTATTTGAATGAGAAGCGAGTGCNATATATTTAATAACATTATTATTTTAGCATGTAATAATCTTGTTTATATAGTAATATTACAGATAATCATTTACCGTAAAATTACCATATAACATTTTTACCATAATATAATTATATTATTTTTCACATTTTTCGTATTTTTACCATATCTTAATTGCATTTTATGATTTACTATTATTCTTTTAACACATTAAAACCATATTTACCACATTATTGTTTAGCCATATTGTTTTATAGGATGTAGAATTTTTGTAAACTTTAGCATTAGGCAACAATAATACTCTGAAACAGTTTCTTTAGCCTTATTTCATCGCCATAATCTTCCAGAATAAAATTAATTTCTCCGTCTAAATAAGATAGAGTGTGTGGTTTTCTCTCAGCATTACATATTTGATTGAAAAATTATTGAATTACCTTCATTTCAACCTCTGTCTGCATAACTCTTTTCATCTTTCATTAATTAAGCCCTCAAAATGAGAACGAAGGCGTGCAAAACGACGCTAAACATTACTAATGATCTCTTTTAATATGCTTCTATACACATCATTTAAAGCTAGAACAGCAATGCATGGAAAGAAAGGAATTTTTTTTTCTCCCTTTTCCAGTTATGAAAGTCAGGACTTTCTGCTCCTTTTTGAACTTAAAGAGCAGGAAGTAATTACTTGTACTATGTTTCCGGAATTTCTTTTGTATTCCCCCCCCCCCCAATGTCAGAAGAGGCAGTTCAAAAGGTTGAATCAATCATTGAACCCGCATACCTTTTCAATAGTAGTCTGAATTTCAGTTATCTATAATATTCTATTAAAAGAAAAGTCAGTCATTTTTACTAAGATAACTTCTACAATTGGTATTCAGGGTGCGTTGACGAATTATTCAACAAAAAATAAGCATTTTTTAAGCACTTTTCAAGCACTCAAATAATATTTTTAAGCACTTTACAAAAAAAATCACAATTATGTAGGATTGGAAAGTTTTTGACAATTGATGGTTTTATCTCGTTTTAACCGTCATGTCAAAGAAAAACCTTTCGGCATTGTTTTTGACAATTGTCAAAATTTTTGAATCATGTAAATCGAATAGCGTTTTCATACGCTACGGACTGACGATACGCCGAAAAATATTGGGGTTGAATTGATTGTGAAAATGTTGAATAGAACAGTGAACAGTATCTTTCTGCATAATTCGTAGTGAAAATCAGCATGATAAAGAAAAATTTCATTTTGGAAAAGGGAAAATTAGCACTTTTTAAAAACACCCAATGAAAAAAGCACCTTTAAGCACTTTTTAAAAACGCTACGCACCCTGGAACTTTACACTGTTAGAAGTTTCTCAGAAAGAATGGTTAATAACAATTTATTTAACTGTTTTACCATATTCCAACTAAACAGTCAAATAACCATAAATAAGATGGTATTCAAACTGTTAACTGTGAGGAAAACTGTTTATTAACTGCTTTCACCTAATACGGTTAAATAACCAGAATTTTATCACACCAGCGAGGCTCACGTAATATAGCCACTTAATTCCTTGCGGATTGGTATATATTAAAATCGAGAGGGCTAGTCTATCAATCTCATAACCGAAAGAATGGAAATTCGAGTCCCAGGGCTGACATCTTTGTATTTCATCCATTCCTTTCAGTGCATCAAGAGTTTCCAGTGTCCCCAATTGGCAACCCATTACTTAACAAAAAGCATACCTCCAACACACTGCTAAATTTCTTACTGTTTTGAAATCACGCTAGATGTAAATGGTTAAAAACCGTATAGTTTTGTATTCATGGTTTTTTAACCATACTATTTACAAACGGCTTCAAAACAGTAAAGGTAAAATGCTCCTTAGCGTACACTTGACCGTCAATTGAATAAAAAGATTTAACCGTAATTTTAAAAGGAAAATTCTAACAGTGTACCATAAATCAGTGATTCCCAAATGGTGTTCTATGGAACTCTAGGATTCCGTGAAAGAATTAAAGGTGCTGCAAAAATTAAGATTTTCGATTTTTTTTCTTCATTTTTTTTTCCAAAATTATTGAAATCTGTAATTTTATTTAGATCCAGTCAATAATCCATTATGACTTATTCTTTCAATTGCTTTTATGAAATTATTTTTTTAGTAAAAAAGTAAAGAGAGAGAAATGAAAATTTTTACAATAATAATAATAACTTTTCTAACAACAGTTGTGAAAAGGATACGCATTTATAAGAAATGCAATAGTTATTCGCATTGCTTTCACAATGCTTAGTTATTCACAATGCTTTCTTTAAAGGAAGTCGATTATTTTTTTTCCCTTCAAAATCAGAAATTTTATTTTTGTGGCAAAAGCCTCAGTTAAGGAGACAAAACTGGTGTGTGCAATTTTTAAAAGTTTGAAAAAAATTATAAAATTTACTAACCGTCATTTTTACTGTATCTAACTTGTTTTTCTTCTTCTTTTAAATAGGAACTTGAGCTTTTTTATTATTATTTAGCATGACGCATGAGCTAATTCTGATGTATACTTTTTTAATCATGTATTTTCCTTTTAAAAAAAAATAATTGTTTTTGTCTATTGAGTCTCATAACATGGAGTTAGTTTGAACAACTCATTAAATAGATAATTTAATATTTTGCTAGGATTCTAACTTGATCTATTTTTAGGATCATAGGTTCAAAACATTTTGGTTTAAAAATACTAAAAATGTTTAGAAACATTAGTATTTCCTAAATTTTTACACACATAAAAATCAATGGAATATGATTAAAAATCTATAATGTCAAAAAATTTGTAAACAAACAAAAAGCATAAGAAAATTTATCTAATTTAGAAAATAAATATCCTATAAAGAGAGGTGCTTATAATTATCTCACATATTTCTCACAGAAAGCTGAATATTGACATATTCATAGTTCTTCAAAACCATATATCCTCTCGAGCCTTATGAATTAATTTGCTCGTTTTAGCTACTTTTTGTATAATATCAAAATATGTCACAGAATTTTAAATGATATCATAACATTTAGATTACTGAAAATGATCAATATAAATATTTAATAGTGGTAACTAAAAAGTAAATTAAGAATTAACTTTTCCACCATTAAAACCTTGATTTTCTTAATTTTCAATTTAACAGTGTTTACAAGCAATTGTATATGAAAGTTTGTCAATATATCTTGATTTGAAAAGAGATTTTGAGTGAAAAATAACTGAATTTTTCTAGATTACCGCATTAGAAAGTATCCACAGCCCCCCTAATTGACAAGAATAAATAAAATAAGTATACTTACCAGTAAATGTCGTCGGAAGAAAGTCACCTAACTTTAAAAGCACGAGAGAAATGATAAAACTATACTTTGTTATTAAATATTTACAGCATCAAATAAAAATTACAGCTAAATTTTTACTTTATTAAGAAACAAGAGGCGTGGCTTAGAAAGCTATAACATTTTTTTTTTTTAAAATCAGCTAACTGAACCAGTATATATACTGCTATGTTTTTAAAAGAATCAAATATAAACAGTTTCTTTCAGTTAGCAGATAGGAGTTAAAAACTATGAGCGATTGAAATTTAATATGGCATCACCGTTGAAAGAGAAAGCAGTGACTAAATCATAGCTTGGAAAGAAAACAAGTGTTTATTTATTTATTTTTTTAAAAAAATAGTAGTAGTAGTAAATAAATCTATGAAAGGAGGAACAACCGTGACGTTGAAAACTTTATCAGTATACCGAAGAAAGTAGCCAAGCTCTCTCAATATTTTGACTGATTTATTTTGACTGATAACTGCTTACTCAAAACGAATCAAAGGCAGTGATCTCGCACCATGAAGGATTTATAATCACGTGCTATCAGTTCAAGGACTTCCTTTGCAAAACAAAGTTTTGATTTTAGTTTTAGTTTCGAATTACAGTCCCTGTCCTTATTATTAGACGCACTATTAGATTATAATCTTAATTATCAGGCGATAAGCATTATTGTCTTGACACTGCTGAAACCGGTTTGTACTTGTTTTTGTTCGTGTATCAATTAGTGAACATTGCAATGCAATACGTTGAAAATATAATATATTAATGCAAGTAGGAAGTATATAAAAATTCTCCCAAATGAAAACCTTTCCGTGTTTAAATATAAAAGTATTGCATATAAACTCGTACAAAACATGTAATTATTGAAGCACTATAGTGTGTCTAATTATTTGGTCTAATTATTATAAAATACTAATATAATACCCGATATAATAAATATTCTATACTTATATAATATACCGTCTAATTTATTCAATCGTCTAATTTACATTATATGCCGTCTAATTTAATCAATTGATACACGAACGTAAACAAGTGCAAACCGATTTCAGCCGCGTAAAAACAATAAAGCTGTATAGATCACCTGATAATTAAGATTTTATGTAGAATCTTATAGGGCGTCTAAAAATATGGCCATGGACTGTACAATACTTCCACACTCTACAGTTTATTTTTTATGTAACTGAAAGAAAGACAAAACAAGAAGATGGAATTTAGGTGGTACATTTAATATATAATATTCTTTACGAGAAAATAAACTTCTAAATTTATTGAAAATGACTTACGATGATTGAATTAGACTCACGCTTCACCTTGTTAGCCACCTAGTGAATTTTTAGAAGGAAAATACAATCTGACGTTATTTTTCTTGGATAAAAGGTGTTACAAATTTGTTTTGAAATTTACTTTCAACATCTGATTATGATTCAGTGTGATATAATTATCTCAAATTTTACGAGATAATCAAACTACTTTCTTATTCGATTGGATGAATTGATTTCACTAGACCTATTTTTTTAATTTCAAATTTAATGAAATCTTTCCTGTTTACGATAATGATGAAATATGCAACGAAATTCGTCACTATATTGTGACTTTTTCAGGGCTCTTGAAAAAAAATTAAGGTTATCAGGTATAAGAACACGTCTATTTAATCTGACTCCGTGCTATTACAATCGATAATCAATGAAACGGGAGATTTATCTTTGTTGATTTTAATAGCCGTGGCGAATTGGTGGGACTTAAAAGGAAATAGGATCAAGTACCCAAGTAGCACATATCTTAAAAATGATGTCGTAAAAACGCAGCTTCGAACATTGTACGATATCGTAGCGAAATAATGTATAATATAAAAATGGACGCTTATTATAACGTATGTTTAATATAACAAATATATATTGTTCGATATTTCGAAAAAAAAACCGTTGTGGAATGTCGATCGATATCTCTCAGAATTTACAAACGTTGTAGAATGTCGACCGACATCGTCAACACGATATTCAGAAAATTAATGCTGTGGAATGCTGGCGATTACCAAAACAACGTTAATTGTAAAAATAAAAATTAGCATTTGAAAATCATGCCTGTTTGTAATTCGGAAAAAAGCTGATAACAAAGCTATTCTAGCTTCTTTAAGATTAAAGTAAAATACTTGTAATTACCAAAATTTAAGAAGTTTTAGAGTTTGTAGCCCAGATATATACTATATATATATATATATATATATATATATTGCTTTCCCCAGGAAAGTCATGCGTCTTTGTTATGTGTCTATGTTTATAAGTTTTGGTTGGCAAGTCTATTTTACTATTATTCCAGAAATTAAATAGTTTTGTCTCTATAGTTTTTTCTCTTTTTCAGAATACAAAGTCCTTTATACTGTGAAATGATTTTATTATTTTAGTGATTTGTGCAATAATTTTTACATCTGTATTTCACTATGAATATTAAAGTTACAATATGTTTAATTTAGGATAAGCTTTTTTGCTGTGAAGTTTAAAATTGTTTAGTATTATATAATCTGTATTTCACTAATATAGCATGTATGGAAGGCAAAATTCCTTTTCCATAGCATCAGGTTCGATTTTAAGAAATCTGATTTTTAAAAAAAACATTTACACTGAAAGTATAATAAAATAACAAGAGTCCCTTTTTCTGAATTCTGATTTTAAAAAGGGTAAAATTTACATAGTTATAACATTGCACAATTAGCTACCATCTAATTTACTTTTGACATTTGTCGAGTAACAAGTGTTGCCAAACTATTAGGGTTAACGTGGTTGTCAAATGTATAAATGAAGTATAATTTTTATTAAACAGTATGGAATAATATACTAACTTCAACAACTTATTGTATTCTTTAATACAATAAATTTTTTCTAACAACAAGACTGTCAGTTGAGGCAAAGTTAGTCTTTCTGCCTTCCCTGTCGTTGGCAGTGGCAAGAACTTTACCAAATTTTTCAGTTTTTTCTCGCCGGCTAGCTTCCTCGAACAGTATAAAAGTCGCAGTTGAAAAACAAAACGCAGGCAAACTAAAAAAGACCTGAGCATAAAGCAAGAGCTACTAGCGTTGTTTATACTCATCTCAAGTTTGACAATTTTTTCGATTAGAATCAGAGCCATTTTTAAGTTTTTAGGAGCCTGTCTTTATTTGAGGGCCCTTTATGAGTAAGGGGAGAAAATTTTAATTTGAATAATTTTTAGAAAATATTTTATTTTAAGAATGAGAAACAAATACATTATAAAAGCTTTAATGCATTATTTGTATAGAATGCTCAAGGTAGCAATACTTATCAAGTTTTTTGAAAGGCGTCATTCAAGTCAATTTTCTGCAAGACATCATATTCAATTCTAGAATGAAAATTCTAACAGTATGCTACAGTGTGGTTCGGATTTAAAAAATTGTCTTTAGGAATTAGAATATTTCAGTCAGAAAAAGTAGCTCATGCACATAATTAATGCTGAGTGACGGTTCAAGTTCTTGAATTCGTTAGCATTTAAAAAAAGATTTTCGAATTATAAATAACATGTATTATTTAAACAAAATGTCTAAGTCTATCCAGACTTATATTCTCCAACCAAAATTTTTAGCAATCTAAATTTTGAAGAAAATAGCGGAATATTTTGTCCACCGTTATTTGCCAGAAATATTGTTCTAAAGCATTTCGATCTATCTCATCTTCAACTTTAGGAATGAAGACCTCTTTTCATCAATATCCTAACATATCAGGGACTGTAGGGTCATTAAAAAATTAAAGTGGTAATAAAAGTAAAATTACATCTTAGTGAATTCGTATTCACCACCGAACTTAAGATTTCCAAATTAATATAGCTACGAAATCTGGTTGTAGTCTCTTGTTGTCTTTTAGTTGCGTAATTAATGTGAAAGTTAATGAAATCCTAAGCTTTATTACGAAATTTAAATCAAATTTTAAATTTTAAAGGACAGTACGAACTCTGCATGCACATTCAGATTTTGCAAACCTATAACATATGCGATAGAACCTATACATTACCGGGTTCTATAGACTAAGAATTTGATTAATATCAGTGTGTTAGCTTTGGAGACTATTACGATACAACTGAAAATGAGGGGATTAAATTGCGCAAGGTACCTTCAGTGGCTTCATGAAGCATGTGCAAACTTTGAGAACGTTGAGGTAAACTTTGATAAAACCAGACACATTTTTGTAAAAGTAGAGGGACTAAATCTAAACATCTGATTGATTATTCAATTTTTTACTTAGTTTCCATTCTAATATTTAGTCTTAACCATTAAAAACTTACGGAAAGTTGTAAACTAATAAAATGTTATTTTACTTATCATTTACTGAATTGGGGGCCAACCCACCTCTATACATTTGAAATGGGCACTTTAATTTTTTTCAAATTTTGTTCTCAATACTGCATTATTTTACTGCAAATATAGTTTATAATTTGAAATATACCTGCATGTCTTTTATTTCAATTTTTGGTACTTTTAGTTTTGAAAAAACATAGCCATCTATCCTAAATTTATCCTAACAATTTTAGTTTGATTCTTAAATAGTTTTGAATTTACTAAATGGCGTATTCAATTTTTTTAAAAAAAAAAAACAAATTTATTAAAAACACAAATAGCTAGATTCCTTGAAAAATTTATTAAACACACAAATTACAATTACATTCCCTGAAAAATTTATTGAGCATACAAATTACAATTACATTCCCTGCAAAATTTATTAAACACACAAATTACAATTACATTCCCTGCAAAATTTATTAAACACACAAATTACAATTACATTCCCTGCAAAATTTATTAAACACACAAATTACAATTACATTCCCTGCAAAATTTATTAAACACACAAATTACAATTACATTCCCTGCAAAATTTATTAAACACACAAATTACAATTACATTCCCTGCAAAATTTATTAAACACACAAATTACAATTACATTCCCTGCAAAATTTATTAAACACACAAATTACAATTACATTCCCTGCAAAATTTATTAAACACACAAATTACAATTACATTCCCTGCAAAATTTATTAAACACACAAATTACAATTACATTCCCTGCAAAATTTATTAAACACACAAATTACAATTACATTCCCTGCAAAATTTATTAAACACACAAATTACAATTACATTCCCTGCAAAATTTATTAAACACACAAATTACAATTACATTCCCTGCAAAATTTATTAAACACACAAATTACAATTACATTCCCTGCAAAATTTATTAAACACACAAATTACAATTACATTCCCTGCAAAATTTATTAAACACACAAATTACAATTACATTCCCTGCAAAATTTATTAAACACACAAATTACAATTACATTCCCTGCAAAATTTATTAAACACACAAATTACAATTACATTCCCTGCAAAATTTATTAAACACACAAATTACAAGTACATTCCCTGAAAAATTTATTAAACACACAAATTACAAGTACATTCCCTGAAAAATTTATTAAACACACAAATTACAAGTACATTCCCTGAAAAATTTATTAAACACACAAATTACAAGTACATTCCCTGAAAAATTTATTAAACACACAAATTACAAGTACATTCCCTGAAAAATTTATTAAACACACAAATTACAAGTACATTCCCTGAAAAATTTATTAAACACACAAATTACAAGTACATTCCCTGAAAAATTTATTAAACACACAAATTACAAGTACATTCCCTGAAAAATTTATTAAACACACAAATTACAAGTACATTCCCTGAAAAATTTATTAAACACACAAATTACAAGTACATTCCCTGAAAAATTTATTAAACACACAAATTACAAGTACATTCCCTGAAAAATTTATTAAACACACAAATTACAAGTACATTCCCTGAAAAATTTATTAAACACACAAATTACAAGTACATTCCCTGAAAAATTTATTAAACACACAAATTACAAGTACATTCCCTGAAAAATTTATTAAACACACAAATTACAAGTACATTCCCTGAAAAATTTATTAAACACACAAATTACAAGTACATTCCCTGAAAAATTTATTAAACACACAAAGTACAAGTACATTCCCTGAAAAATTTATTAAACACACAAATTACAAGTACATTCCCTGAAAAATTTATTAAACACACAAAGTACAATCACATTCTTGAAAATTATTGAACACACAGATTACATTAAAGTGAAGTTTAACCACTTATATTTTAAGCTAGAGCTGATAACACTAAAGCAGAGTATTGTTTCCAGAAGAGTAATACAGTTTTAATATAACAAATTTGAAAAAGTAGCAAAAGTCTAAAATAAAAAACTTGTTTATGCCCTTAAACTAAAACTCTATGCGGGAACCTAAATAAGCTTATGCAAAATGTTAGATTAGTTTTAAATCTTTAATTCACATCAGAGTTTAATTTGTTCTTATATTCATTGGTTAAAAGAACGAAAAAGATTGTAATCACATTAATTCTTTTTATTTTTAGTAACATGATATACGCGTTATAAAAAAAGGAAATTTTATAAATTATTGTAATTTAATAAAAAGGTAGAAATTTTATAATTTATATCCTGCTAATTTTTTACTTTTGTTCTGCATAGACTAAGTTTATAACGTGTTTAAAATATACCCAATTATAATACCGTTTATCTAAAATTTAAAATACAACATTACCTTTTGTATGAAAGTAAGAAACTAATCTTTTTGGAAAGAGATCCTCTTAAATGGATCCAAATTTAAGATAATCTCTTTTGAAAAAGACTGTTTTAAAAAGTTTGACCTAAGAACTGAAATTGAGATATTTAAAAATATTTCTAACTTAACGACAATTTATATTTATGGACCGTGAAACTAAATTCTGTCATGTGTATTATTTAGATTTTTGCATGCAAATTTAATATACAAAACATTATTAAAATTTGAATCTTTAAACCTTACCCGAGGACCACAATACGGTAATACATTGCAACTACCGTAATTGCACTCTTTCAGCGCTAGCATCTGAAAGAGTTTGAACCTCGGATCGATTTAAAGATTTAGTAAGCAAGTTTAACTTCTAAAAATCCAAAGCAGCTAGCTTTAATTCGACTTAAAGCTTTCTCTTGCTATTTCATTTTATTTTGCAGCGCTAATTTTGGAGTCAAATATTCGTTAAAAATTTCACGAAGTTAAATCTGTTCAATTTATCAAAGTGCCAATCTTCTCATTGTGAAGTTTAAAACAATAAAATTATGAAAGTGTTCTCTACATTTCGAAGCTTTAGGCTGAGCAATATGAAAGAAAGTTAGCTTATTCGAATGGTTATATACTAGCACTTTGCATAGACTTGTTTCCGTTCCCTACATCTAAAAAGCATTTTTTTAAATTTAATATTTTAACCGGATAGTTTAAAGCTGTAACAATTTCCTCTAATTTTTTTTATTAATATTAAAAATTTGCAAAATAAGTTTATTTTTTTTATCTGTATTAAGATACAGCTAGATCAACTTTTATAGAGTTTAGAAATTGCTTTTAGTGTTATGTAACCCAATTTTCAAAGCCATCATTTAACAATCTGACAAAAAGAAAGATTTTATATAACATGTTAGATAAAAATAATGTTACATAGTATTGTCACACATTTTACACTAATTAAATATACTTGTTCATAATACTGTAACACATTTCATACTACGTATATATGCTGCTAAATTAGCGAAAATATGAAATTTAATTCATTACTATAGTCAATATATAAAGAATAAATTCTAATGCAAATTAAAGATAACACAATACACATTTTATTAAATTTTACAAGCAATTAAAACTGCAATATCTAGTAACTTAAATACATTGAGTTTTTAAACTAACCGTTTACTATAAAACCAACAGTATTATTACTTTATAGTGCACGAAGAAAAATCTTAAAAATTCTATTCCTACTGCTCCGAATGATACCAGCTTTCATGTGGTGCTAGTTTTAGTTTCTAAAAATTTAACTGTTCATATTCCGGCCTGTTATGCTTTACAAATTTTAATTGCTTCAAGACTTTAATGTGCTGTTAACTTATTTAAAACTTTCGTCAGTAGGATGTAAACTGAATTTTAATTTAAAAAATTAAAGGGGGCGCAATTTAAATTAACTTATATTGAGTATTTATAAACTAGTTATTTGGTATTTTTATTCTAGTATTAAGCTTACCATTATATTAGATTTTAAAGATTTGTTTTCTTCGTGAGTTTAAATACAATAAATGAGTTAAAAATTTTAAATGCTTTTTAATATTTGCGCTTTTAATTCCTTCAATTTAATACTTTATTTTCCTTTTGCTTTAATCTGGTTTTTCCAGGTTTTATTATTTCCTCAGTAATTTGCACCGTATGTGACCCAATTTATGTAGTATTTCAAACAAAAATCATAATGAGTATAGTTTAAATATACAGCTTAGTTTTACACTGTGTTAAATATATATACAGTTTTGAAAAGCTTTTTCAAGCTTGAAAGAGTTGTAACGCTAAAAGCTATGAAAAGCCTGAAAATTGAAGCACTGGGATTGGAATAAAAAGATATTTAAATGATTTTACATTACTTCCAAAATCGCAACAAATTTTAAAATTTACTATTTCTAAAGTGATTAGTTAAAAATCAAATTTCGTTAGTGTAATATCATGTATATTCTAAAAGATTAAGTGCCCCATAAAGTACAGGTTTTAAATGTTTTTAACAATTTTTTTAAATTTTACATCCTAACCTTTTGATTAATTCAGAATAGAAATTTGAAGAAAAATAAACGAAAGCAAAAGATTCAAATTAGTAATTAGTACTAGTTTCGTACTAATTTTTCTGCATAATATTAATGAAAGTACGTTTTTAATCTTACATTACATTTTTATTTGCCCTTAATTCCTGCAGTTAAAATTTTCGAAATGTTTCTTACAATTTTAATTACTGACGCATTTTTAGTTTCAAAAATGGTTATATCTTTTTCCGATCGCTAACTTAATACGAAAGTTCAGGAATATTACTTACCTTTAAAAGAGAATTACCCTAAGAATCAAAGCATTTCAATTTCAGATAATATAGCATATTTGAATTGTAGCATTTAATCGTATTCTAAATTTAGAAGTAAAAACCCTTGTGTTAACTAGATACACACGGAATTATCGGGCAGCAAGTAAATTGGACATTTATCAAAATCACAACAGCAAATAGCGTCATAGTAGACATGAGAAACCAAGGCTAGACTAAAATTTTGTAATCATTTTTTAAACTATTGACCAAGTACTATTAATTATAAGTTCTCTAACGTGAATAAGTTCTGACTTTAACCTCTGTTAACAGTTAAGTCAACTACATCACAAAATGAAAAATTGACTAGTTCTACATTACAAGGCTAATTGATGCATTATTTTGAATGAAACTAAATTCTTTCCCAGATGAAACAGTTTTCTCAAAGTTGGATCCAAATTAATACAAGGTTACAAAGTTAATTAAAAATTAAACCAATTGATCTCTTTTTTCGGATTTATACAATTTAGCGCAGTGGTCCCTGAACTTTTTAGCCATGTTTTTCGGTTTTGGGAAGACCCCCTGCTTAGCTAATATTTTTGTAAATTTATCAAATTCAAAAGTATTTTTGACAGCTGGTATAATGCTACTCACTGTGAAAGGGTTAAATTTCTAACTGTAGTGAAGTGTAGTGTGAAAAACTTAAGAAACACATGCTAATTTTATACATTTATTAAATTAAAGCTAATTTAAGTTAATTAATAGTAAATGGAATAAAATAGTGCACTATAAAACCCGTACTCCGCTACTAATACAATTTCTTAAATAAGTGCGTCTGCAAAACCATAGTAGTGCACTGCCGGTCTGTTTAATACTGTTTGTCTACGATAGGTACTCTGTCCGCCATTCGTCTGGAGAGGTGGCGGTAACTATGGTAACGAGGTATGATTATTTCAAGTAGGGGTGCGGGGTCCCTCTTTAAGACTGGTTTCGGTGGGAGAAAAGGAGACTTCTTTCTTCGATCTATTGTATTAGCCCTAGAGTTAAGAGAAATGAGCATTCGCGCCTGAAACATCGTTTAGAGCGTTTGATTCCTTTTTTTTTAATCTTTTCTCTTTTTCAAAAGCTTCTGTTTTAGAAAAAAAATTTAAAAAATTTATTTGTGTTGTAAATTTTTTATTTTATTTTTCCTCTTTTAACTTTTTTGAATTTTGAGAAATGCCTTTTAAATTTAAAAAAGGTGAAATTCTGAAATCACAAGCACGTAAAGTTGTGCACAATGTGTTTGAGTTTTTTGCTAATGAAGCTAAGGAAAAAGCCCTTAAATTACCTCTCCATCAACCATCTGATAGAGCATGTCTGGCTACTGGAGTGTCAGACTTCACACTCAGAAAAATAAAAAGAGAAGTTTCTTGTTTAGGAGAAGAAGGTGTGTTGCGCACTCCCGGAAAAAACAGGAAAAAGAAATCTGGTGGACTTGCTCATCTAGATGATTTTGACAAATGTGTTATTCGTCAAACCATCCAGGAGTTCTATATAAGGGGAAAAAAAGTGCCATCGCTTCGAAAATTAATTCCTGTTCTTCGCGAACGAATTAATTTTGAATTTGAGAAAGATTCATTGAGGAAAGTTTTATATTCCTTAAACTTTCGATGGAAGCGGTGCACTCCCCAAAGAAAACTGCTTATCGAAAGGCCAAACATTGTTTTTTGGCGCAATAAATTTCTGAGAGAAATTCGTGAGCATCGGAGGATGCAGCGTCAACTAGTTTATTTGGATGAGACATGGGTTGACAGCAATTTAACATTCCAGAAATGCTGGCAGGACGAAAATAACAACATTGGTGCTATATCAAACGTCAGTTCGAAAAATAGACTTATCGTTGTTCACGCAGGAACGTCAAGTGGATTTATTCCGGGAGCTTTGTTGGCCTATAAGGCATCTAGTCAGTCTGGTGACTACCACGGCCAAATGAATTTCGAAAATTTTCGAAAGTGGTTGATCGAGAAGTTACTGCCAAACCTACAACCTAATAGTGTGGTAGTGATGGACAATGCTCCATATCACTTGCTTTCAGTTTCAAAAAAAAAAAAAAAATATTTGAAAATTAATAATCAAAACGAAGATATTTAATATTTCTCAGGCACAGATAACGTGAACTATTTTTATTTTCAGCAAAAGTTTTATCTCATTTTAAAATCAGAGTTATTAAGTTTAAGCTCTTCACTTTTTCCAGAAAATTCAAGTAATAAAAGAAATTAACTGCTTTAAAAAATGTGCAAGTTTAGAAATTAAACCATCTAACAATCAATGAACATTCATAATAAATATCTTAAAATTAAAATAATATTAAAAAAACCTGTACTACCCTTAATGTCAGAATTTGTTCATTTTTTTCCCTATGTATTTAAAAAATAACAACTGATTGAATCGAGAGAATTATTTTAAGTAAGAAAGAAATATTCATGCGAATCTTAAAAAAGTTCTTGAATCAGATTAAATAAGTCTCCTAATGGTGGCTGAGTCAGCCAATCTGGTATACTCCCCATACAAGCTATCATCGAAGGCGAAAGAAAAGGAGACCTCTTCATCGAAGCCACCCTCCCTAAAATGCTCTCTTCTTGTTTCCATAGCACCAGACAGCCGCAGACTTTGTGGCGGACAGAGTACCTATCGTAGACAAACAGTACGTTGTCACGTAAAAACTAATCTCCGTGATCTTGTGCGCAGATGAAGTTTGAAGGTCTAGCTCGTTAAAGAGTTGACACAGGCTAGGCTACAATTTACCGCTGAAAAATACTTTTACAAAACAAAACCTTACACACAGAGAAAATTAAAAACGTACGCGAGCGGAGCTGCAGGCAACTCTTAGTTTATAATAATTCAGTTTCATAAATCAGAAAATAATCCTAGTAACTTAAATTTTGAAATTTTTACTTCATAGCTACTTTTATTAATTATATAGAATTTAGATATATGTCTTTATATTATAAGGTAGTATAATGTAAGTTAATAGGTACTAAGTGTGTTTATTATTTTATTCATAAAATGCCAAAATTAAAGTCACGATTTGCTTATATGAGCTTCACCATCGTTAACCCCCATTTTCATTTCCTGGACCCCCAATTTTTTTTTCACTTGACATGGACCCCTTGCAGGTTGCCGTCGGCCCCTGGGGGTTGATGTAGACAACTTTGGGAATCACTGATTTAGAGCAAGAGCCATGTTTTGGTTTTACCGTGACTAAAAGAAAGTTAAAATTAAGATTTTTTAGACTTATAACTAATAATAGATTAAATGTGTCAAAACACTTAGTTTCTTAGAATAATTTTCAGTGCTGATAAGCGTTTCATTTAATTTTTAAACAAGTATTTGTGCTTATCAATCACAAAATCAATACTTTCAATTACAATATTATGCTAAAAAATAAAAACTTTATTTGTTAGACGAGACCGATTAAAATAAACTCAGTCACACGAAAAGTAAATATTTACTTCAATAAAGTTACTTGAAATTTTAACATTTATACTTCGTTGTTATTTAAATAGAAAAAATTAATACCAAATTACTTCAAAACTTTTAGGGTTGCCTGGTTTAAACAAAGCTTTTATAACGCCAAGCTTGGCTTGAAAAAAAAAAGATTTTTATTGATATAATTTGTTTGATTATAGCCGAATAAAAAAATTAAGTTCATTTTACAATTTTGAGTTTGATTACTAATTGGGAATATGTTAATTTAAATAAACAAAAATCAATGCGTAATTTTTAAAAGTTTGCGAAGAATATGGTTTTAAAATGTTTCTACTCAAAGTAAACTGGAGTAAATTTAAGTTTAAGTCTTAATATTTAAAATAAAACAGATTAGAAACTAACGGAACATGAATATTTTATATATTTTTAAACCTTTAAATACAAATATTTTATAAATTTTATTGCATTTTTTTTACCTTTAAATATAAATTTACTGCTATCACGAACTAATAAAATAACAGATTAAATGTTTACTCGCTGGTTAAGTGGAATTTTGAAAAACTAGGCACATTCAAAATCTTTAGTACACATTTCATCATGTTCGCATATTTATGGAACAAAAATTAATATTTTAATTCTTTATTCATACTATTACTCGATTAAAAGAAATTTCTATGAAGTATTTTTTAAAAGTAAAGTTAGTTTTAATTTTGAATAATATCCCTTTTTTAAATACAGGTTATTATTAAAAAACCTGATTTTTAATATTGTTTTTACAACCCTGTTTTTATGTAATACAAGACTTTGGAATAAAAATTTTAAACCTTCCAAGAGAATTGGCGATTGAAATGGGCTACAGGGGGCGAAGATCAGAACATGCTTTTACCATAAGCGTGTGGAGAGTCATAGAAGAAGGAAGTACGTTAGTTTCTGTCTTGATTTTCATGTAGATTAAAAACGTTTAAGTAGGGAAACTATGGAACTGAAAACCACAAATATAGTTTTAAAAAAAAACATCATGGAAATTAAAAAAATATTTGTATTAATTAAAAAGGAAAAATGTTAAAAGGAAAATATCGTACATTTCTATACAACTGAAAAGAGGAGAGGGAAGGAAGGGCCAAAGACATGGTACCGGTTTCCTCCCCAGATGGCGTTGCTATCGCCCATTACAACAAAGACTGCTTACATTTGTGATAAAAGGTTTAATGTTCAATTACGAAATTTATTGTCAATTTATAAAAGTCTGGCTGGTGAAAGAGATTAATGACGGATATTATGGACTTTAGCGGAACAAAAGTACTTCAAATTTTACATTTACGCCACTAAATTATATTTAAACTCTCACTGAATCAAAATGATGCTATAAGACAATCATTACTTGAATGCAAAGAACAAACTTAAAAATGTAAAAAACTAAAAACTGGCAATTTTTGCACTGCTTACATCCCAAAACAGCCATGAAGGAATATTAAATCTTGTTTAATCAAGCTTGAAATTATTTAAATTGCTTTGTTTAGTTTTTCTGAACTATGAAAAAATCTTAAATGCCGCTGTTTAAATTCTAATTTAGAATTTTCTTTAATTTTAGTTTCAGTTAAAATAAAATTCCCCTTTTATTCACTAGCATTGCTGAAAATTAAGCATATGAGTAAGAGACTGAAGGATTGAAAAATTTTCCGTATTCTTCTGTAATTAGTATACATACCAGAAGAATAAAACTGAGCAACTAAAATATTGCACGCTTACGATGACCACACTTACAAGCCTGAAAATAAAGTTTTTTTATGCAATGGCTAGACTTAACTTGCTGAGGAAAAAAATAACTCATTTCTTTAAAATTTAGAAAAACCAAATTCCCACATGTTCTTAACATTTAATGAATATTTAACTTTAACGGTATGATGGAACATTAAGAACTAAGAATCTGTTTACGTGAATTGTTCTAAATATTTAATACCTTTGTAATCTGTTCAAAAGTATAGGTTTGTTACAAATTCTCAAAGTATACAAAAACTTATTTAAATTAGGTGGTATACATTTTTGGATTAATTAAGTCTTATCACTATTGCTGAGAGTTTCATATTAAACTATTTTCATTAGGAATTTTTAAAGTGGAAACAAAGTACAAGTTAACGTTTTTATATTTGTTCAAAAAGTTTGATTAACCACCACTGCATAATTTAAATAAAAGTTTGCATAGTTAAAATACCTGCTTACATAATTTATAATAGTTTTATCGTTACTGCAAAGAATCTTAATCAGCAAGTAAAAACTGCATCTATGCTAATGTCATTCTGTTCTATTATATTTTACCTATTCCGTGCAATTTAAAATACTTGTTTCCTACTGAAGTTTAATTATTGTTAAGATAATAAGTATGTTATAAGGTTAGTTCTGAATTAGTAATTAAGCCATTAAATCATAGTAATTAATAGTAATAAATAGCCGGGAGCGAAATTCCTGAATCATGAGGTGAATTGGTCGTATTTAAAAACAAAAGTTATAAGTAGTTTTACATGACTACAAAGTAGCGTGATCGTGTACTACAGTTATTTTATACTATTTTAGACACTAATTCAAACAAAATAAAAAATTTACGTTTCTACGACAACAAGTGATAAGTTAAATTTTGCTTGTACAAAAATCTAACAATCAACTAAGAGTGAAGTGTAATGGTTTTCCTTTAGGAGGCAATTTACTTTCACAAAAGTACTTTAGCAAAACTCAGAAAACTAGCCAGATTGCAGGAATATCGCTACAGCAACTATCTACTTCAATAGGAAACAAAACATTTTAAACTGTTGAAAACATTTCTCAAAATGTGTGATGAACTTCAATAAACTCAATGTCATGTGACCAAAACTAAAAACATTCAGTTAATTAGCTCAGTTTTTGTTTAAATGATTTACGGACTTAATATGTTTTATGGAAAGGAAACTTAGATGTTTATTTTGCTTCAATTTTGATTGTATTGCTTAATTTTATAAGCGATTAGTTCTATTTTCATGTTTTTTTATGAACCTGGTGTTGGTTTCTATAACCATTTCGCATTAATTTTGGCATTTGCGTTACAATGCAGATATAACTTTTAGCCAATCACAATAGGTATTAAGAATGTTTAAGCATCCGTTGCTGTTCCAGTTAATGATAAAGAATTCCGGTACTAAAAATTTCAAAAACAAGCTAGGATTTTAGTTCTAAATTCAAGCGAAATCTAACATTTTTATGGTTTTGTTTCCAAGATTACGAATTATAAAAGACTCCAACTTAAGTCTTCTAAACTAAGTTTGACGTGAATCTGAAGTATTATCAAATTCCACATATTTGAAATCTATTTTTATCCTATTAGAGGATTTTAGCAACACTGCACTAAAAATTTTCCATAGCTTTATTCTGTCTCTTACTCATACATTTAATATAATCTCAAGTATGTTGCTGAAATGACTAATTAGTATTAACTAATTTTTTAATGCGTGACAAAATAGTTTTACAGTATTTCTAGTTCTTAAGGGGAAATCCAGTCTAGAAATGTAAAAATAATGAATGTTTCAATGTTTTATACTACGCTTGATATATCGCAACGCTCGAATACGCCATTTGGGGATAAGACCGGTTCCATGCCTTTGGACATTCCCTCTCATCGTTTCAGCTATTTATATAGAAATGTACTAGGATACTAGTGGGCTGCGCCACCTGCCCGCCAACCCCCGAAAATTGCTACGCAATCTTATATGGTTTGATTCGCTAACTAAGGTACATTGCAAATGCACAAAATTCTAAGAATTCAAAAACATTCAAATCCATATAACAACTTTTTTAAAAAAAATTTCATCTTTTCAGTAAATACTAAGTCATTAAAATAAATTTGAATTCAATGAATAACTATTAACAATAAAACAAATAAACAAATAATTCGTGATATAAATCGAAAATCGTCAGATAAATTCGTAATATATTAATTCGTGAAAGAAAAAAGCGCTTTCGACGAAATACTAAAATAGAGATCTATCGATAAAGACTACTCACTTCTGCCTAGCTTAATAGTATGAGACTGCCGCGGCAGATAGAATTTCGGAAGAGATCACATTTGCTTAGTATGCTCTCTGGTTATTTCAGCTTCCGTTTATAAAAGAGCTATATGTTGAGCCACCTCAGCTAGATTTGGCATGCGACATTTTTAGCTGCAATCATTGGTCCATTTTCTGGCGTTGCCATTCAGGGAGTTGTAATGAGGCTTTTTTTGTCGCCGTGTAAGAGAAATATATATATATATATATATATATAGACTTATCCTTTTCTTAATATTTTTCGTATTTAATTGTTAATATTTAAGATTTCAATGAAGCTTTCTTTTAGATCAAATGTAGTTTTTAGTTCCATGTAGTTTTTTAACTTAAGATTTTTAATCTATTTTAAAATCAAGACAGAAACTAACGTACATCATTCTTCTACGACTTTCCACAGGTTAATGGTGAAATCATGCGAAGTGTTGCCATAGGTTGAGAGTTCTGCTCTACGCTACCTGTAGCCCCATTTCGATACCCAATAAAGTATATCAAGGTGAAACCGTTTTGCCCCGAAACTATTTCATTCAGTTGGAAAGCTATCATCTGACCAGCCGCTTAGAGTATTAGAGTCCTGGAGGCAGGGCGTAACTGCACCGCGGCAGTCTGGGCATATCCCCGGGCCCCGATGGTCAAGGAGGCCTCATGAAGAGGCCGCCAGTGGCGTATCTAGGAGTCTAGGATACGGCAAGTGTGGCGAATGCCATGGGCGCATTATTTCGAAAAGGCGCAAAATCAACATCGACGATTATTTTTTTAATTAAAAATTTCCTCGTGGGCTCGAAAAGACATCGAGGTCTTTTGAGGAACTCTTTTTGTAACTGGGGGAGTGAAGTATGAAAGGGAACCGCTAATAATAAAAACAAAGTAGGTGACGAGCGTTAAACAATTTTAGTCTCCCACTGTTTTAATTTTTTTCATAACTTTGTTTGAAAACTCGTAGACCACCTCAGTTAGGGATAAAAGGAGGGCCAAGGTTTCCAGCTCTTTTGCATAACTCGAAAAGCGCGAGAAATCTCCTTCGGTTGTTATATTCAACATTAAAAAAAAAAATGGGGGAAATAAAAACATTCCACATACCAACTCTTTTGAACAACTTGACGTCTGTGTGATAACAATTCATACACGTTTCTGCATTCATTCACTAGACACTTTTCTTTCATTATACTTTCAAGTTAAGCAACAGAGGATTCGCAATAAATAAAAAATTTTAATGCTCATGAATACATGCACGATAAATACTAAAATAAATCAGTAATAAAAAGTAGCTTTTTCTTTTCTATTATATTTACGACAGTTTCGGCAAAAGCCAAATTTTAATTATAATATCGTAATTTAAAGAATAATGCAGAGTTTTTAATAATTATAACTATTACTCTCTTTACTAACTTTTTGATACACTCCAATAAAAGTATTTTTAATATCAGAGAATTTCCTAAGCAATTAACATTTAATGTATATCAAAATCCTTTGACAAAAAGACTTAACCCAGGGGTCTGTCCAGACACTTTGTGAAAGGTCCGTTTTTCGTGACATTGTGAAAAATTACTCACATTCTTTCAACAAGGGTCCGCCTTTATGAATTTGTGCAAATAGGGTCCGTGATTTCAAAAAATAACTTTTCAAGGAGTTTTTAAATTGTAAAGACAAACAAGATTATGCTCAACACTGTAAAATTATAATTAAAAAACTTAAATTTTAAAAATAAGAGATGCAACAAACAAATATTTGGTATTTAGCCTATATTGCTGAACGCAGAATATTAATTTCGGACGAATAATAGAAGAATCGTCTGCCGAAGACAAAACTTAATTCGTTTACATCCATCTTTCTTGTTTTCTGCCCTGGAAAGGGTTTATTCTATTAATTAAATAATAATGAAGATAAACAAATTTGTGAAGGGTAAAAGAAAGATAATTTTGTGAAGGGTCCGTTTTTATGAAAAGATATTTTGTGAAGGGTCCTTTAACGGACCCAAATTTCTTCTAAACAGACCCCTATAACCCCATATTTAATTTTATAACCGTCGTTGAACAGCCGACCCAATTCCGCAGTCTTGTAATTTTGAATCCAATCCAGAAGACAAGGGAACTCCTGTATCGAGTAATGGGAGAAATTTGCCTTCGTGGAGGGCTTTTTGGTGGAGCTAACCCGCATTTGCGTTGCATAGAGAGGAAGACCACGAGAACCTCCCGCGGTTAGCCTAACGACATGGGGACTCTAGCCCATGATCCGTCTACAATTGAGGATATTTCACATCAGCACTGTGGTCGGTGCAGGCCAGATGCGGAAATCGTATTGACTGGGATTCGAACCCGGTTTGCCTCATTGGAAGGCGAACGTTCCATCCCCTGAGCCATCGCGGCTCCCGTATTTAAATTAAAAGGAATTTAATTTTCCCCCCTCTAAAATGTAGCTTCTCATTGCTTCACGATATGTCAAAGCTGTACTATAAAAATTTAAGCTATCGCTGATAAAATGAAAAGACAAAATGTAAGCTCATTATTCATTATAGTAAAATTACGGGGAATTTAATTTTGTCTTTTTAGTGTATTATGAATTTCATTTTTTCTACTAAAAACGAAGAATAAAGCACAAACTTAA